GGCATTTGTATGAACAGGCTTGTCAATGGTAGTTCCCTTACCCAAAGCCAACAGGACTCTCCCAGCTGTGTAGCAGAGCCCTTTCCTTAGAGCCATCAGTCATCACTGTCTAAGAGCAGCTGAAAGTGAGTAAAAACAGCATTTTCTTTCTTGATCTTCCCTTGCCCAAGGAAATTCTCTCACTAGTGTGACAGCCCTTCCCAGTCTACTTATAGCTCCTATTGAATTTCAACTTCCTGTCCAAAATTGCTGGGACATGAGATGGTTAACAAGATGTAGTTCCTGACAGGCCACAGGACAAGGGATCCTTGTCAACAGTACAGGGTGAGGGATTTCAAACCTGATGAGTGATCTTTAGGGCATACAGCAGGCACCCAGAGAGTGTCTTGGGCGTTGAGAGTTAAAATTGGTTTATTTTTTTTTCAGGAGGTGCACAACACTGGCATTATCATGAAGGATGTCCTTCAGCCTGCCCAGCTGGCTATTTTAGGAGGCATTAAGTGATGTAAACATCATGGCAGAGAGACTGAAACACTTGTTGTGCTTTCAACCCAGCCAGCAACTAAACACCACTCTCTCACTCCCCCACCAGCAGGACTGGGGGAAGAATCAGAAGGGTGAAAGCAGGAAAACTCATGGGCTGTGATAAAGACAGTTTAATAGGGAAAGCAAAAGCCGTGCACGCAAACAAAACAAGGAAATTATTTCCTGCTTCCCACAGCCAGGCAAGTGTTCAGCCATCTCCAGGAGAGCAGGGCTCCGTCCCAGGGAATGGTGACTTAAGAAGACAATCGACATCACCCCAAATGTCCCCTCTTTCTCCTTGTTCCCCCCACTTTATACACTGAGCAGGATGTCACATGGTCTGGAGTATCCCTCTGGTCAGTTGGGGCCACCTGTCCTGGCTGTGTCTCCTCCCAGCTTCCCATGGAGTCCCAATCTTCTCACCACCATGAAAACTACCCAAAACACAGCCCCATACTGGCCCAAATCAGCCACCACTCCACACCAAATGGAGCAGTGTTTGTGCAGGCTCATGCTGTCCTTCTCAGTGGGTAATTGCATAGTTCCCCATCACTTGTGGGATTTGTATCTTTATCTAAACAGGATGGAGATTTGTCACTTGGCTTCTTTCACCAGGATTCTCTAAGTGCACACTGAAAACCACTGTGCTAGCAGGAGTGCACCACACCATTGTGAATGGCAAAAGTTACATCCTTTTGGTTTAGCTGAACAGAGATGAACTTTTCATTAAGGTGGTGAAAAGGTGGTTCCTGAGTTGACATAAAAATAAGGTGCTGACTGGCATGGTTATATCTTCATTGCTTGACCTACCAAAGGAGACAGTGGCAGGGAAAGGACACAAGTAACTTTTAGATGTCATTGCATTAATTTGTAGCAATGCTGGAATTTCCATTGAGATGCTTCCTAAGGATGTTGCAGGCATCCGGCAAAGGCTCTGCTTGTTCTTTCCTTTGATATATGCCCAGAACCAGAGACAGATGCTGTTAAATGGAGTAATTAAATGTGTTGATTTCTTGTAAAAATGGTTACTGTAGTTGATTTCATAGTTTGGGGGTAAGGGGGATCTCTAAACATATCTTCACTTTGCTTGTATAATTTGAAGGTGGCCTTTTTTCTCCTTTTTTTGGTGTCAGTTTGTGGAGGTTTTTTGGGTTGCGTTTTGGTTTTTGTCTTTTTAAAGCACAAGGCTTATTTAAGAACTTTGTAGACAAAAATATTTTGCAATGCTAAAAATCGTCTGCAGTGTGTTCAGAGTAGGACATCCTTTGCTCTTCAGCTCAGAGTGCTTTAGACAGAATGGGAGAAGGACATGAAAGAGAATTGTGTTGTGCTTAGCAGAATTAGAATAAGCCCACAAGCACATGGTTGGTACTTTTTAATTCCAAGAGCCTGAATCTGATCTCACTCCTACTAATCTCTGAAGGGATTATTCCTGATTTACACCATCCTGAATGAAACCAGAATCTGGTCCTGAAAGCCTGTTTGTACTTCAGACATTGTCTCAAGGCAGCTGACCTGCAAATATGAAAAGACCTGAGTTCCTGTGGGTTAACTGTTTAAATTTTTCAAGCTAAGTTGACTACAGCTTGTTCAGCAGGGAAATGGCACAGCAAAACCTCAGGCTAGAACCCATTTACCTCTGTTGGACTAATAGGAGGTTATCAGAGGATCCTCTTTGGTGCAACACAGTGCTCTGCATTTGCATAGCATCTTTCATCTGAGGATATTAAATAACTACTTCATTGCACTTCTGGAAGCTGTTCAGCCAGACAAATCTCTTTAATGACCTGCCACAACTCTGGTTGCTAGCAGTGAAGCAAAAATAAGTTAATACATTGAGCCTCTGGTCATGAGTGGCATCTGTAAGAAGAGGTCTGCAACCTAGAACAGTGTGAAGCTGTTAGCTGAAAATACTGGGGTTTCTGGAAAAAAGGCTATGTCATATTTAGCTGCTGAGAAGAAAATTGATTTTTATTAGCACAGGTTCAGTTAGTGTTCACTGAGACAGGTACCAAAAGCAAATGTACGGTTTCAGGGTGGGAAAGCACAGGTTGCCTTTAAGTCATCATGCCAACTTCTTTATGGCCCAAAATTAATTTTTTTTGTTCATGTTTTGGTTGTCTACATGCTCATTTTTAAGGCTGTGTTTATATCGAGATTAAGGGAAAGTTGAAAACACCTTTTCATGGGACTGCTCTAAAGGAAACTGATGAATTATTATTCACCTGTGCATATTCTCAAATGAACAGGTCACGTTTGTCATTCTGCAAAGCACAATTTTGGTGTGGTGACACATTTGCACAGTGTTTGAACATACTAAATGCAGCCATTCAGTGGGAACCAGATGGGCAGCCTCATGCAATGGCCCACCTATTTCCTTTTAGATTTTGTTCTTGTTCTGTTATCAGCTCACATTTCTTATTAACTGTCTCTTTGCCATGTCAATTTGAGACACTCCAACAGTAGTTAGATGACTGTGGAGGGTCCTGTCTTTATGGACTGTAGGATGCCTACATCCCATGATTCACCCAGCACAATGGGAAAAACACTGAACCTCTGAGACACGGATCAAAAAGGCTCACTACAGGAAGATTTTGCACACCCTGCTTCAGTTATCCTGTGCAAACATCTGCTCCTGCTCTGGAGCTGAGATGCTTTTTCCTTTCCAACCTGAAAGCATGGTTATGACATTAAATATGTTGAACCAAATTTGACATGCAGAGTCATGTGTGTGGAAAATACCCTTAATTTTCCTTGCAATAAGTAAGAAAGTCTGCTACTTCCTCAAAGGTGTATTTAGTTTTATTTCTAGTCACGCCAAGTGTTAGCCATGGGTGATGTAAACCCTGCCTGTCTATCAGCAGAGACTGGAGGAACTAATGACTCTATTCTTGGAGGTGAGACTTCATTGAGTCAAGCTGAAACAGCTGGTAAGCAAAGCTCTGAGGAGTTGGCATTAGAATAAAATACCCGGTTGGCTTTGTGTCTGCATTTTGTTCATGTGAGTAACCAAGAAGACTCTGTAGTGAGATCTCTGCATTTTTCTGTTTTCCACAAAATAGTCATCATCATCTCAGGTCCACATCTCTCCACTTTTCTATATTTACCTGACATAAACCAGAGTAAGTGCCATGTAGGCAAATGTGGGATTTACTGGGGGAATGAGAACTGGTTAATCCCACACTCTTCAGCAAAGATCTCCCTTCCTTCAATCTTGCCTCTGCAGGAATGTGTGCGTCAACCTGGGTCCTCTTCAGTGAAAAAGAATGATACTGGCCCTTTTGCTGTTTGATTGAATCAAACCCTCTAAAAATTCTCTCCATCTATATATCTGCTATAGGGTAAGAGACATTTTTCCCTGTTTGTCTCTACTCTCAGCTGGTCCCTGTTGCCACAGCAGATGTAAAGGTGGAGGAATTTTAAAATACACCACATACCAGACATAAAATCTACTGCCTTGTTGAACTGGTTAATGTTGCTTAGCTGACATTTCTGCAGTGTAGGAAAGGCTGCATTTTACTGGCCAAGCACTTTGTAATTTTCTGTTATTTCTAAAATGGATGCCAGCAATTGGAAATATTGAGTAATTTTTAATTGAAGTGATATGATCAGTGGGTGATTAGTTTTTGGAGTGCCTTGGATATATGCTATGTTGTAGAGACAAGCCATCTGGAGCGGGGCTGTGGTTGAGCTGCTGTAATGAGTACCCATGGACTGCAGTGCCAAAATGACCAGGTTTATTACATCGATGAAGATCTTGAGTAATTCAATTTATTTTCACAGATCTAAATGAACTAAAATGAGAACATAATTTGGCCTGAAGTTTTAGTTTGATGCTCTCAATTATTAAACCAAGGATCATCGATGCATTTTTTTACTATGCTTAAAATAACCAGCCACAGCAAATCAGGCTGTTGAGTTCCTTCCTCTGCCTGCAGCTTTTACCAAATTTACCATGGCCAGGATTTCACCGCACTTTGCCTGGATGGCCAGTGTGACTTCATTAGGTACTTCTTGTATTTGCTGCTCCTCTGACCTACAAGCATCACACTCTGCCTCTGACCTTGGGGATAGGCTGGCAGGGGAGAAGGATCCTAGAACCACAGAATCAGTTGTGTTGGAAACGACCTTTAGAAATTGTCTAGTCCCATCCCCTGCAAGGTGCAGGGACACCTTCCACTAGATCAGGTTGCTCAGAGCCCTGTCTGTGCTGACCTTGAAGGTTTCCAGGTGTGGAGCTGCTCTGGGCAGCCTGCTGCAGTAATGCTCTCACTGCTGGGGATTACTGGGCAGAGTCCCACCATAAATCTCTGTTAGGCACAAAGCTTGCAGCTTACATTGCTGCAGGGTACCTGTAGCAGCCCTGGGTGTGTTGCCAGGCTTGTAGCTGCTGGACTTAATTACTCCAAAATGAAGACTGATTTGTGCTATCACACCGAAATTAATCCTCCCTCTTCCTGAAATTTTCGTTACAGAGTCTTTTTGCTGAAGTCTGATCAGTCATGGTGATGTACAGCCCTGAAACTTGAATCTGAAGTGCTGCCCTGTATTCAGTGCATCAAGGGGTGTTTGGAGCAGTGAGGGTTGCTTGAGGAAGTGACTGGAAGTGGCTGGAAGAAAAAAAAAGCAAACAACCTTTGAGAATGCTTTGATCTGAAATCAAGTATCTGCACCAAGGAGGCAGAGTATTTTTAGGAAGAGGGCACAGGCTGCATGTAAGTAGATGCATTCTATTTGATGTGCCGAGATCAAGGTGTTGGAGTCTTTAACTGCTCATCTGACCATCTTATCTTGTGTTTTCCCTCTTAATTTTTCCCTTCTGTTTTAAAATTGTTTTTCCCACTTGTTCTGTGAAACATTCTTATGCAAAGCCAAGTCTCCTGCAACTCAAGCAAGCTTGTTTGTAGCACAACAAGAGGAAAGAGGTGTCAGAGTTTTGGTTTTGCATAAAAACATGTAACTTATTTCCTTTTTTTTCTTCCCAAGCTTGTTATTAAATGAGCAGCATTTTAATGAAGCATTTAATCGAGAAAACAAAACAAAACAACTTCTGTATCCTCTAAATTGTTCCCAAATCCCTGAATGAAAAATTATTTAGAGATTAAAACCCTTGCTGTTTCCTGTGTCATTGCAAAGCAATAATGAGCAGAACTTGAAAAGCTCTTCTCTCTCCTGGTTTGGAGCACCAGCCTCTATCACAGCATCAAACAGCCATGCCAGCACTTTTTCATGGTACCAGCTGATTAAGTTTCATAGCAGATTCTCCCCCAATTTAATGCTGCTAATGACTATGTGAATGAAACTTACAATATAAGCACAAGTTTGAAATCTCAGCTTCAGCATTGGAGCTTAAACAATCTGTACAGGAAGAGGCTGTTGAGAATGTAAGCATCAGTTTAAAATCGTCAAGTTTTCCAGTTTGTACTGCAATTTCCCCAAAGCTGTGCAATCCACAGCAGACCCAGGAATAAATTGTAGGAATTGGGTTCTTGCTGTAAGCAGGGACAAGTGGCATGCCCTGAGCACTGGCACATGATGAAAAAGCCAGTAGTCTCTCTCTCAGCAAGATGTGAGTCACTTGGGTAATTCCTGTTTTAAACAGAAGAACTGGATTCATGCTTCAAGCAGCCTCAGACAGCCAAAGAGGAATAAACTTCAGGTTAAAACCTTGTGTTTTGTGTCATTACCTTCTTCTCCATCCTTTTTGCCCTTTTTGCCCCTGCAGTGACAGTGTGTCAGAGGGTAACAACGGGAAGGGGAGCTTTGCTGCGTGTGGGAATAATAAAAACCAGCTAGGTTTACACTGTGAGGTCCCTATCTTCAACAAGAGAAATAGAGCACTTGTCTTGCTTTCTGATGTACAGGAAAGAAAAACAGAGGTAGGTTTAGATGGTTTAGGTTTTGCAAGTTACAACCCTGTAGCCTTGAATGTACTGGATGAGAAGAATAAGTGGCTCGTTTACTGTGAGGATGGTGAGACACTGCAACAGTCTGCCCAGCCAAGATGTGGATGTTACATTCCTGGAAGAGTTCAAGGCCAGGTTGGATGGGGCTGTGACTAACTCACTCTAATGGAAGGTGTCCCTGACCATGGCAGGGCTTTGGAACACGAAGATCTCAAAGGTCCCTTCCACCCCAAGCCATTCTGTGATTAATCTTGGTACATAGCAGGCATGGTTACAGATGACAGGACTTGATTGACAGTGTGCTGAGAGTAGATGTCCCTCAGCAGGACTTGCTATCAGCATGGGAAAGATGTGGGACACTGTTGGACGCGTTATCCAGGTGGGATGCTGCTGCTGCCTGCCATGAAAGCAGAGGTGAGACCCAGCCACGATGACCCCTGAGCAGAGGAGGGTGCAGGAGTGAATTAGGTGCAGGAATCAACCCAGGTGCACAGCAGGGCCCCATGGGATGGGAGTTTGGAGAGCTGCCAGGCCCAAAGCAACTGCAAAGGTGTCACCCTTTTAAGTAGAAAATTCCTTGGTGGCCTGAGGAATTTCTGCTGCCCAGGCAGGTCCGTAAGCTGAGGTGCTGTGCAGTCTGCAGTGACTCTGGTGACCTCTCAGAGATGTTATTCTCCTACTGTACTTGACACATACATGTAGTGATGGAGAGTGGAGGGAGGTGCCACCACGGAACTCCTCTTCTCTGGCAGGATGAAGCCTGTCACTGTTTTGTCTCTCTCTCCTCTTGGTCCCAGTGCTGGGAAGGGGGGTTGAAATTTGGCAATTGTAACTGTGCCAGGGAAGGTGGTTTTAGGTTTTCAGGGCTTCCTGAACATTCCAGCTCCAGTACATTTTGTTCCCAGGTGTGTCTTTATTCTTCATTTTTGTGGCTTTTCAGACAAGGCTGCTCAGAGCACTGCCCTGGGTGTCCTGGGCTGATGGTGAGGACAGAAAGGGACAAGAGAAAGCTGCCAATGGAGCCAGTGATCAGAGGAGCCAAGAAAACAAACAGCTAGGAAAAACACCTGGCTTCTGGGACTTATTTCCTTAAGAAGCAAAGTGGAGAGCAAAAACCTGTGGGATGACTTAAGATAGGAAGGAAAACCATGCTCATGTTTGGTGACAAGCCCTGCCTTTCAGCACTGAGCGTAGGGCTTGGTTTCTCCATCTTGCTCCAGGGCTATGTGGGCACATGTGGCTCTCATGGACAAGACTCCCACTCCATCTGCCCCTTCTCCTCACTGCTGGCTGACACAGCCACTGGCAGACTCAGTACTGGGAATAATACCCTGCTGCAACCCCATAATGTAAAAACAATCTTGCAGAAACGAGACCCTGAGGGAATTGAATCCCATTTTCTTTTAAGAATACTCCAGTTTCTCTCAATCCGGAGAAGACTGCTCTCCTTATGAAATGAAAGGCAGTGAGTGCATGGAGGACAAGCATTGTACAAGGTGAAAACAGTTCATGTTCCTTATGGAAGAATGAGAGTTTTCCTGTGCTAGAACTTCCTTAGAGTGCAGATACTCCAGAGTGCAGATGTTGGGTACATCTGACAGAGTGCAAGCATCTGCAAAGCATGTGCTGCTGTCAGACCTGGTAATCTGTCCTCCTTTTATGGGTCACAATGAGAAATAGATACTTTAATATGTCATTTGTCTCATTTAGAGGAGGCATTGGAAAACTAGGCCCTGGAGATGGGACTTCCTCTGTGCTGACAGTTAAAGAAGCCTTGATGACTTGCTCAGGCATTGAGGTGTGACGTGAGATCAGCTGGGTCCTGCCCCAGCACAGCTGGGAGTGAGATCCTATTAACCTCTTAGCTGGGGATGCAAGGGCCAGAGGGCAGAGGCTGGGGTGTCTAAATGAGGGAGCTGATGCTGGCTCTGTGATTACCTTCTTTGAGAACTGAAGCACCAAGGTAGTGCCCATCCAGTAACCTGAAGGGAGACTTTCAGACCCCAAACAGCACTGAGTTGTCTTGATGAAAGTCAGTGAGGTCCATGCTGCCTGGCTTCTTTTGTGTCATTAAAAGAACCCAAGCCAACAAAAAAACATATATATATATATATATGTGTGTGTGTGTATGTATGTTATCCTTTAAAAAATATCTAACATGTAGGTATTCCTTTTAGACAAATGTGAAAGAGATGGAGAAGCTTCCTTATGGTCCAAAATGAACAGGATCTGCTCCTCTTTCTGTAGGAAGGGAAAAAAAATTCACTGGCCTGTCTGACTGAGATGTGTCCTGCACAACCAAGGACCCAGACTCTTTTCCATAAAACCTGAATACATGAACCAGAGTCAAAACCCAAATATTCAGTTGTGCCTAGATGGTTCAGCTGAAAGCTGGTGGGTGCCTGCCTGCTGCCTACACCCTCTGTACACTACCATGGGTAGGTGGTCCAGACTGACCCCATCCCAAGTGCCCACACGTGCAGTGAGTGAACCCTTTTCAAAGTGTTTTTTTTCCCCATGAAGAAACAGCTTCCTCAAGGATTTATTACTTTGCCATGTCCCCTGCTTGAAAGGATGCTATGAGCCCTCTGCACAGGGCAAATGTTAGGGTGTTCTTTTTTTCCTCAAATGAAAGAATAGCAACATTCAAGTTCCAGTGGAGTGGTGATGCTTCATCAGAGTCTCGTTGATGCTGAAACTTGCTGCTGTGCTGTAGTTTTGAGTAAGCCAGGAGAGCAGGGTTTCTGATACCCTAGGTGCTGTGTCTCATGTTTGGGCTGCATTGCTGCCTCCATAGGGGTAAGGAGGAAATGGCTCTTCCTGCCTGAAAGAGCCTTTCATAACATTCTGGTGGTCTTTTGGAACACCAGCTGCTGGTGATAACCCAAGGATGGAAATTTCTCCTGGACAAGCATCTGAACAGTTGTCATTTCAGGGGAAATTTTCCTTTGTTCACACTGCTCAAATGCACTTTTCTGATGATTTGTAGCAGAGGATTCATTAGCTCCTTTTTCAGCAGGACAGCTCTGCTGTGCATGCAAGTCAGTGTTGATATTATAACACATTTGTCTTTAATTTGATAGCCCATTGCTCTTACACACGTTCACTGTCATTGCAAAAGTGTGTTTTTTGTTGGCTTTTCTCAGGAAAGGATGAGGGGGTGCAGAAGTAAAATTTGATTAGGAGAGAATCATTATTTCTGTTCTCTGTTAACAGCTAAGTATGTAAAAGAATAAAGCCAAAAATACTGGTCAATCATAGAGAAGTAAAAGGAGCAATGCTTTGCAAATGCAGCTGAGGGATGTGGAAACACGATTCATTTTCAGAAGATTTTGTATTGTAATTCTGCATCACACCTCTGGCTCTCAACACTCTGCTCTCTGTCTCTCTGTGTGTTCAACTCATCATATTCTGATTATATGCCACTAGCTGGGCAGCTATAGCCTTAGTTACAATGTGATCTAAAATCCCCTGAGACACCAAAATACTTGAAGGCAAGGAAAGATGTTGCTAAATAGCACATGATTTAGCTGGAAAATCTGACCACAGAAAGCCCAGATGTCTGCTAGAGGCACTATTTTCTTAATTACCTAATTTCAGATACTTAAGGAACTGTGTAAAAAGAAACAAAACTAAGTTGTGGGCAGTTGTTTGAGGTCTAACATGACTGTTATGGATGATCCTTAGATTTTTAGATGCTTCCAGAAAAAAACAAGTAAAGAAACCTCTACTGTATGCCATTTTAGCATGTTGATTATTTTATTTTATTTTATTTTATTTTATTTTATTTTATTTTATTTTATTTTATT